AGAAATGTGCTCTGCAACTGCAAGACACTCCTGTGCCAGCTGAATGTGGAGCAAGGCTGCTTGCTTTAACTTGATGACCATCTATAGAAAACCTGATTTAATATCTATCTCAAAAATTTGAGTTCAGAAGTAGTGCAGATGTGGTTATATCCAATTTTAGTCTAAGGTACAGTATGTTCAAAAGGGTTTAATCTGGACTGCTAATGAACAAGTGTTAAACTCAATGCTTTATTTACCTTGGCAGAAAAAGGCACAAAAAAAATAACTTCCTCCTTTGAGGTTTTGCTTGCAGTATTTCCTGAAAAGTGCTTTCTAAAGTAAGAACATTAGAAACATGAGGCAGAGATAACATTAAAACAAACTAGCTCCCCTTGTGCCTTTAAAACAGGCCAGACTTATTTCTACACTGCTGTAAACGTTACAGAATGATCAGCAGGCTCTGAAATCAGCCTGGTAGTCACTCTTTAGTAGTTGTGGGTTTGGTGGTGCTGCACACATGCACTATAAAAATGGCATGTTGGTTTATGCTCTTTGGACAGACACTGGGCAGCTGTAACCAAGCATGGTTGATAGAGATCCGACTTGAATGAGACTCATCATTCTTCAAAGACCATTTTAAACTACTAAAACCAGGTTATAATCCACTGCATCTCTTCTACAGCAGTGGTTCCCAACCTTTTTAGACTTGTCTTCCCCTTTGGGCATTTTGTCTTACTATGAATCTCCCTCTCAGTCAAAAGTATTGATGATTGTCCAAAAAGTGGAATGTACAATAACTCAAATAAAGACTATTATACTTAATCTTTTAATTTGAACATTTCGTTTTTTATCATTTTATGCTTTTTATTTCAAATAAAAAAAAACAACAAGATTATGTTGATTGGAAGTTTGAAAGGAATAGAACATGTAGAAAATAAAATTGTGTTATAAACCTGTAATTATAAAACTGGAGCTCCTCTGAGTACCTCCCCTATAATCATAGTTAAACATGATGAATTGGGAACAAAATGCAGAAAAAAAATTATCGTCAGACTGATTTGATTAGTTTTACTTTGTTTTCATCATGACATGTGAGCTGCTTCGATGAGCTCTGACGGCTCAGTGTGAAAAACAATCTGCTCTCTACATCCAGTCTGTTCCTCTGCTTGGTTTAGATGTATGTCAAAGCTGAAGGTGACCTCAAACATTAAAAAAAATAAAAAACTTAAAAGTTTGTTTCATTTTTCAATTGCGTCCTAAGAAAGCAAAACGGATCCAAGCCCTATTTTATTACCTGATAAATAAAACATGTTCATGTACCCCTTGCAATGCACTGGCGGACCTCCAAGGGGCACGGGTTCTCCAGAAAAGAGAAATGGTAAGAAGTGAAAGCTAAAGCAGGCTATACAGGGAAGTGTCAGAAAGACTTACAGACTTTAACACAGACACATCTGTTCTGCTTGTTTTGCAAGTACAAGAACTTGCTTAAAACATGTTCCTTAAACTAACCGACACTAAGCCCTCAACAGTTTGTTAGTTATTTATTTTGTTACTAATTTATCAAGAAAACATGCTCATATTGTATAGCGTTTTTCTAAGTGACAGTTTTTCTCCATATTTTTATTTTACAAGGAACATCTTAACAGTCACAGCTGGTCAATTTACAGCACTTTTTCAAATGAAAGATATGTAAAAGATCTGAGACTGTTGACTCAAAGTGTAATGAGATTAAAGAGGATGAGACCCATCCTCTACTCAGCATAATTTATACTTCACTGCAGTTTTGCAGTAAAATAAATCCATATGTACCAGAATAAATAACTGCAGGGATGTTCTTACACACCTAAACAACCCATAAATTACATCAGTAATAAAACCTCTTACAGATTAGACACTGTATTGGGATAGCCATGTTGTTGATTTATGACTTCCTTATATTTACATTTTAATGCATCTGCTTTGATAAACAAAAACAACAAAAAATGTGATTTAGGGTCTTCTTCTTGACGTTGAAGAAAGGTTTCCTTAGCTCAGAGTTGACCATAAACGGAATTCAGCCTCTCTATATACTCTTTTCTATGCCTTTTGTTCCTCCACTGATCTGTAGCAGTTTTTGGTTGATGTGGGAGGATGTGGGGATCCTGCAGCATAGACACAGAGTCCCAGTTAGTGATTGTTGAACAAAAAGAACAGAAGCATGAAGCAAGCGGAAGATTACAGTGATCAAAAGATTAATTTAACTGATGATATATGACTGGATTATACGTGAGAGATGATTGTACAAAAAAAATATATTGTTTGTGGTCTGAAGTCATTGTGTCACACAGGAGAGAGAAGTGGCAAAGCACATCTCTATACACATCTGTATTGGTAAAAAGTGAGAAACAATGGCCAGATGAGGAAGGAGGTAAAGTAAAATGTAGAGTAAAGTGTAAAGTAAAGTAAAGTAAAGTTAAAAAGAAGCTGGAATAATACTTCAATACTCAAACGAACATGACAGAAATATGCAAAAAACATATCAACGAATCTGACCTTTCCTTCTGACTGATCCTGAGACCGGTTCTGGACTGGTTTCTGATGTTCGTTGCTGGTTCTACGTCTTCTGCAGAATTGTAACAATAACCTTCAATTAAATTTCTTGTTGCTACTTTGCTTACGAAACTAACCAGAAACAGTAAAGCTTGACAGTTTTCACAATAATCTTGTTTTAAAAGGAGATACAAACACACGTCCTCCTGTTCGGTTTTAGGTTTTAGTAAGATGCATAAATCATTCAACCACAAAGTTCTGCACAGGTCCTTTAAACCTGGTCTCTTTTTGTTCTTGAATTTTTTTTTAAGTAATCAGTCACACATTTATGGCTTTAAAATCAGTCTTCCAGTTGTTTCTCTTTGAAGTATGTGTCGTTTAATGGCTACTCCTCTACCAAGTCTAGATCTTTACACGGGGTGCCTCAAGGCTCGATCTTTGGCCCTTTATCATTCTAAATTTACATCAATGATTTAATTTTATCTTGTAAACACCTACTTCCTTTATGATTTGCTGATGACACTATCCTTATAGCAACTCATAATGACTTTAACAAACTCTTAATTGACGGTGTGAATGACGATTTATCTTCTATTTCCAAATTAAATAAACTAGTTCTTATTGTGAAGAAATGAATCTTTATTAATTTTTGCAACATTAATATGTCTTAGACCAAAGACTAGATAAATTGATTATATTTAATATGCAGTTATACCGGCATATAAATTAAATATAACTTCACTCAAGTTAAAACTTCAAGTTAAAATTCCTTAGGTGTTTTGGTTGATGAAAGACTTGATTGGACAAATCATATAGACCTTGTTAGCAGAAGAACAACACAGTTGTTATCGTGAAAAGTCTATCCATTTATTCATTCCACTGCTCATTTAACCTTATATTATATATTTCTATTTTCTTATATAACCTGCTGCAACATTGTTTGCACAGCCATATATCCCACATATCTCAAGAAACGGAGTGTTATTCAGAAAAGGTTTTTAAGATGTGTAGGTATTCTCTATAATCGATTCATAAACTGAATAACCCTCAGGCTTGCTTGTTTATCTAAAATGTGTTAACAGGAACCAAGATCTCAGTGTCTTTACTTTGTTCTTTACTTTTACTTATAATTTAAACGCTTACCATACTAGACACAGTGATTATCTCAATTTATATTTACCATTTTCCCACCATCAGTATAACACATTCTATTGAGGTACTATGATTTGAAATGAATTGTCTCCTTAAATAAAGTCCATACTTTTCAATGCAGTCTGCAAGAAACGGCTAAAAATACATTTTATCTACATGTATATTATGTTCTTCATGTCTTATGTCCTTATTTTGTCTGTATAATTTACTTTGTTTGATTGTTTTATTCTCTGATTGCTTTGCTATTTATCTCACTGTTCTTTTTGCTCTTCTTTGTTAATGCACTTATCTATCTCCTTTTGTTGTTTTTCTCATTCGATGTTCATGTTTCAAAGAAAGAAACATATCTTGCTTTAACTACTGGTAGGGGTGGAACACATGTACAAGCGATCAACTTCATTTCGTCCATGCATCATTATTTGCAATGGTATGAGCAAAATAAATAAATCAAAAGATAGAATAGATTTTTTCCCCCCATGAACTACATGCATGATCATATTTAATAAATTCAGAAATACACGATGAGGTACGGCTCTTTGATTTAACATAAATAACATTTCAGCATGTATTAAATGTGCTTTTCATTAAGTCCATAGTATAGTTTTCATATTAGAGATAATCATTATGCAACTGTAAAATTCTAAGAGTTTGAAATTAATCACTTTTAGTAAAGTAAATATATTGACAAACTTATTGATAAACATTTTCTGATGTTGATAATTACGACAGTACGCAATCCCAACCCATAAAACCTGTTTTCTAAACAAAATATATGCTAAAACTGTTAAAATATATAAATGCAGAAATATATAACCTTTACAATTTTTGTGTTAAACAAAAGTTAAGTTAAACAAAACATGAACAAAAGTAAATAAATCAACAAATAATATAGAAACTAAAGAATTAATCTAATTAAAGATAACAGGTAACATAAAGTAAAATGTGTCCATAACTGTTCTTAATCCATTTTGTGGCTTTCTAAATTTTAGTGTCTTGATGGTTACATTTTTGTATCTTTTATCAATAAATCTTAATTATCAATTTATTTTAGTTTATTGCAAGACAACAGGCAACCATCATATACTTTTTGAGTATTTTTTTACCTCTGTAATGACCATTATCTGAGGTATCTATGTTTATCATTGTAACTACATCATTCATGTAAATCATTTTAACCTAAACCTAACTAATTCAGAAACTTGTAGGTGAGATCAGCAGAATTTGTTTGTTATAACTCCTAAAATCACATAATAACAAAGAAACATGATAACATGACTGAACATTATAATCAGCTGCCCCAGTACTTGTTGCAGCTTTGAAGCAGAGCAAAAAGAAATTCATGTTTACTAAAAATCTGGAGTCAAATAGATATAACTCACCTAGAGAGGCAGACAGCTAATGCAGTGCAACATAAAAGCAACCCCAGGGCAGGTGGTAGTGTGAATGTAACATACTGTGAGAAACTGATTTCTGGAAATAAACAAACAATAAACAAAGATCATCAACACAGCAAAGAGATTAAACTTTGCCCATCACAGTATGTATTGCAGAAGTGTTCAGTTACTGATCTACGTACCACTTAGGTTCTCCAGTACTGTTAAGTTCCATGTTATACTGTTAATGCCTTTTTGGTTAGTTATGCTGCATGTATAAAGTCCGGCATCATTGTGCTGAACACTAATAATATTAAGAGTAGACGGCATGTTTGTTTCTATTCTCAGTCTGTTAGAGGAGAAATTTGAAAATGTTTGATTAAAGGAGATTGAGTAAATAAAATAAGGTCTGTCTTTGGTCCATAGGATAAACGTTGTGTCTAAGTTGGATATGTTGCAGATGAATAAAACTGAATCTCCTCTTGATACCAGAACATCTCTGTGATCTGTTATGGCAGGCACTGAAATGGAAGAAAACAAATAAACAAATTACAGAACATTTTAGTTTAAACATCATGCATCACAAACATGATTCTGCTCTGTACCTGCAAAGACACAGCCCGTATTGAGGAGCTGAATGAAGAGCAGAGCAGCTTGTTTCAGGCTGAACATGATGACCATCGGACAGTGAGAGACAGGCTGGAACATTGCTGTCTGCTTTAAACGTTGCTGCAGAGGAGGTGCTGAGAAAAGGAAGTGGTTAGTTGCTGTTTGGCTGAATTTACATCTAAGCAGCACTCATCACCTGATTGGGTTTGAGGAAAATTCATGTTTGAGTCACGTGCACAGTTGTTCAAATCAGATAACCTTTACTGAAACTCAGCCCCACAATTTAGTTACATTTTGCTGAAAAGAGGTTCACTTGTAATTAAACTGTTAATCAGATGTTTTCCTCTGCAAACATGGCATGGGGGGCTTTTGAGCTGCTTAGCTTGCTTTGTATCTTGTTACACTGTGTTACAGCCAACATAAGGTGAAAATGGTGGTCTGGGAGATGTTCTTGTGAAACTTGGTTTCTTCCTTTAGATAACTTGGAAAACCTGAACCTCTGTTACATTTTTCATTCAAGAACTGAGACTTTTTAAACTATTTTTTACAGCTTTAAGTCTTTCAGTTCTCGAACCTGATTTTGTTAAGTTTTTTTTTTATTTTATTTTTTACCTCTGATACATTCATTTCACTCAAGGTTAGACTTCCTGTTAAAACCGTTAAACTATTGTATCTTTGGCATGAACATGTAATGAAGAGTCTGTTAAGAATAAATGGATAAAATGAAATATGTGGAATGTAGAGTATTTCTACCTAATATGGCAGATGTAGCTTGTCTTCAGCATGGTTTATACAGTTAAACCAGTTAATAATCTTGCACAAGTGTTCTTGGGTTAGTATTTTTGTCTTTGTTTTATTTCTTATATGGTAACTGGTTAGGAGAAAAAAAAAATCTTTCACCCTGCAGTGTAGAGTTATTGCTGCAGGAAGTTCTTTGAGCATTAAATGCCAGGTTAATGGGTTTAAGTTCTACACTTGACATTGGTGCATTCTGTCTTAGTTGTAAATTGGAAATCCAACTTGCTGTTATTTATGAGTGGGCATGGTGGGTTTCATGTCAAGATGAATGTCTCCATGGATCATCCATCTACATTTCCATTTGTTGGTACAAATAAGAGACGGTTACATTTGTGTGAAGTGATATATTGTTTGATTATCTCAGATTCCTTATAGCTTGTTGCTTGTTGGGGAATTGCACCATTTTCTAAACCGAAATAGATGTTCTAATAATGTGTTTGATCATTTTGATGTTTGAGTTTAGAGACTTTTTGTCATATTTATGGTTCTGTTTGTTTTGGTTTAAGACTTTTTGTTCACCCTGTCACTATTCAGCCACCAGCAGTTATTCTACCAGCTCAGTCAGTGTCCGGCCACCACCCCATTTTAGATTATCTCCAATTCAGGTGTAGAAGCAGAGACGCGTCTAAAAGCTGCAGGAAACCAGACCTCGAGGTCAGGAGTTAAGGAACTCTAGCATAACATGACCTCAAACATGCTGTTCAAGTGGTGCACACATGTAAGAGGATGGTTTGATACTGAAAAGTGCTAACAAATATTCTGTATCGTCAATCAATGTTACTCCTGTTAATTAATCATCTACACTTTGTAATAAGCTGACCTTAGTTTCTTCATCTGTTCTTTAAGTAGGGATCTTTAAAAAACAAACAATGAAGGAGATGGTATTTAAGAAGTCAGATTAAATAAAGATAAAGATGCTCTAAGGTCAGTCTCATCAACCTTATATCTTTTGTATTATTGTATTGATGTTATTTTGCACTGAATTGTGGCTAAATATCTCTATACCATCTAATACCAAAGCTCTAATACCATAGTTTTTCTGAACAAAGAGTGATACTATATACCAGAGGTCCCAGATTAGCGGACCACGGTCCAGATCTGGACCCACCTGCTGTCCAATCCGGACCCAACCTGATTTAAAACATTTATAAATTACAGCACTGACGACAGTGCCTAACTTTACTTGTGCCGCTTCTCCTGTTAATTTGGTAAAGCCCTCCAGAGCTTCCAGGATCCGGCTAAACGTGATACTAATTATCCAATGAGCTGTGTCAGTCTGGGTTGCTGCTGCTGCCACTTTTAGACACAGCAGGCAAACCTTTGGCAAGCCGGGCGATGCAAAAGAAGGAGAAGATGATGAGAAAAAGAGAACAGAGAAAGTGTGGACTGCTGGAAGAACTGCAGTGAACTGGTGAAAGAAAAGTGAAATGGCGTTCTCAAAGATGACCCTGCACATTTTGAGTATGTTTGGCTCAACCTACTGCTGTGAAGCAGGATTCTCCACCATGAACAGAATCAAAAATAAATATCGATCCAGGCTCACGAATCAGCACCTTGATATAAGCTTGAGAATAACTTTGTCACCATTCAAACCCAGGTTTAAAAACCTTGCAGGGCAGCCTAAAGCCCACTGCTCTCATTAAGCCATAAAAATGAAAAAAATATAACAAACAGTCAGTTCAGGTGTTATAAAAGATGTGAATCAAGAAATTGTCTATACACCAAACTGTACGATTGTTGTTCTCTACTTCTAAAAACACTTTAGCTTTTAAAATGGAAAAATATTTTTTTATTTAAAAATTCAATGTATAACATAGAAGCATAAAAACCTAATTTTATTTCAGTGTTAATTTCTGTATAAGGTAACAGATTAGAATTAAAAATGTCTCTGGACCTTTACTGGTTGATGATTTTCCTTATTCGGACCCTGCTGATTTTTTTATTGGTCACGCCTGCTCAGAGATGGCAAAAGTACTCACTTTCCGTACTTGAGTAAAAGTACAGATACTTGTGTTAAAAAATACTCTGGTAAAAGTGGAAGTNTAGATTATCTCCAATTCAGGTGTAGAAGCAGAGACGCGTCTAAAAGCTGCAGGAAACCAGACCTCGAGGTCAGGAGTTAAGGAACTCTAGCATAACATGACCTCAAACATGCTGTTCAAGTGGTGCACACATGTAAGAGGATGGTTTGATACTGAAAAGTGCTAACAAATATTCTGTATCGTCAATCAATGTTACTCCTGTTAATTAATCATCTACACTTTGTAATAAGCTGACCTTAGTTTCTTCATCTGTTCTTTAAGTAGGGATCTTTAAAAAACAAACAATGAAGGAGATGGTATACAAGAAGTCAGATTAAATAAAGATAAAGATGCTCTAAGGTCAGTCTCATCAACCTTATATCTTTTGTATTATTGTATTGATGTTATTTTGCACTGAATTGTGGCTAAATATCTCTATACCATCTAATACCAAAGCTCTAATACCATAGTTTTTCTGAACAAAGAGTGATAGTGTATACCAGAGGTCACGGATTAGCGGACCACGGTCCGGATCCAGACCCATCTGCTGGCTAATCAGGACCCAACCTGATTTAAAACATTTATAAATTACAGCATGTTCTCCAACGACAGTGTCTAACTTCACTTGCGCCGCTTCTCCTGTTAATTTGGTAAAGCCGTCCGTAGCCTCCGGCACCAGGCTAAACGTGATACAAATTAGCCATTGAGCTGTGTCAGTCTGGGTCACTGCGGCGAGCCACTTTTAGAAACAGCAGGCAAACCGTTGGCAAGCTGGGCGATGGAAAAGAAGGAGAAGATGATGAGAAAAAGAAAGCAGAGAAAGTGTGGACTGCTGGAAGAACTGCAGTGAATCGGTGAAAGAAAAGTGCAATGGCGTTTTCAAAGATGACCCTGCACATTATGTATGCAGTATGTTTGGCTCAACCTACTGCTGTGAAGCAGGATTCTCCACCATGGACAGAATCAAAAATAAATATCGGTCCAGGCTCACGAATGAGCACCTTTATATGTGCTTTGAGAATGACTTCGTCACCAGTCAAACCCTTGCAGGGCAGCCTAAAACCCACTGCTCTCATTAAGCCATAAAAATGTAAGAAATACCACAGTCAGTTCAGGTGTTATAAAATATGTGAATCAGGAAATTGTCTATACACCAAACTGAACAATTGTAGTTCTCTACTTCTAAAAACACTTTAGCTTTTAAAATAGAAAAATATTTTTTTATTTAAAAATTTAATGTGTAACATAGAAGCATAAAAAATTGATTTTATTTCAGTGTTAAATTATGTTTAAAGTAACAGATTATATTGAAAAATGTCTCTGGACCTTTACTGGTTGATGATTTTCCTGTTTCGGACCCTGATGATTTTTTTTATTGGTCACCCCTGCTACAGTATATACAGTATCTGCCCTACCGTGAATAATAGTGGCTTTTATCTAATATACTTCTCATTTCCTTTATTCTTACCCACAGACATGATTTAAAACCAAAGGAGGACCACAGAAAATGTCAGGGTAAGAAACGGAAAAAGAAGCTCCACCATATTGCATGGGCTTGAAACAAAGGTCACATATTAACCTGTTTACTTCAGAGGCCTCACTTTCCATTGCTAAACTTTGACATAGGAATCTTTGGTTCTTTAGAGATAACTGTTGGTTGCAGTAGTCCCCAACAATAAAGTTTCCTCATGAAAAAACAAAGTGCAAAACACTTAAAATAGCATCTCACAAAAAGTGAGTTAAACATATCTATTTTATTTCCCAGTTTTAATTTTCTTTATATTAGTTAGAGACTGTTAGACTTCTGCAGAGAAAAATAACACAAGAATTGACTTTGACCGAAGACATTCAAGTGGTATGACACTAGGTTATGAGTCCTCACCCTGCTAGAAGTGTAACCCTCACCCTAGTTTACAGTTTAAAGTGTTGGGTTGGTGCATTTTCTGAAACAAATTACATATTGCATGTAGTTCTGAAAGTTCAATATCCATGCCATCAGAAACGATTGCCCTCTTCTAAAGTTTCCCTGCCTTCCCCGCATGACTTATTGCACATCTGAAAAATATCCCTTTCTTTACAAAGGACCACATTTTTAGAGGTTTTCCCCATAAATGTCTTTTTATTGATATTTATGGTTGCTGTCATATTCTCACAAATGAATTCACCTTCTTATTTGAGTCCCATCACCTGAAGAATGCTTGTGTTCTGCTGAATTTAATTTTATTAATGAGTTACATCACCTTAAATAACTAATATATAACTATATTAGTCACAGTGTGATCAAGTACTACCTTTTTTTTTTTTT